CAGTACAACATTATTTATTTTCCTCATTCCCAATACAAAAACTATTCACTTTCCCCTTTTCCAATACAATATTATTAACTTTTCTCCTTAATACAATATTATTCAAAATTTATTTTTTAGAAAAATTGATTTTTTAGAAAAGTTTAGTTTTTTAAAAAACTTTTTTTTAAATTAATTTTTTTAGAAAAGTTTAATCCTTTAAAAAAGGTAATTAAATTAAAAATATATAAACTTTTCTAAAAACTAAAATTTTCTGAAATGTAATTGAACTTTTTTTAAGAAAAGTAATTAAATTTTAATAAAAAACAAATTTAAATAACTTAAACTTAAAAACCGAAATTTTTAAGAAAAAATTAAAATTAAAAACTAAATTTCTAAATAATTTTTTTTAATRAAAAACTAAACTTGTAAAAGAAATATTCTTTTAAGAAAAATTATAATTTTAGAAAAAATTAAATTGAAAAAATTAAAATGTTTAAAAAGATTAAATTCTTAAAAAAATAAAGAAAATAATTTTTTTAAAAATTTTAAAACAAAACAAAATTAAAAATAAATAAAAAAGAAAATTATCCTATGGGGCCCTAGGTGGGACCCATCCTATGGAAAATTTGTTTTTTTTTTAAATCATAAATTTTATTAATTGTAAAATGGCTCATGTACATATTTAACGGTATTAGTAACTCATGATCATTTTTTGAAATTTTTAAAAAATAGAATTAAAAATATAATTTATTAAATTAGGGTGGTTAGTTTGATAAAGAACCCAGAATTATAACCATCCCCATCAATTCCAGGTATTGGTATTTTTTTTAAATTCATTTTTGTAGTGAAATAGTAAAACATTTAACAATAATATAATAATTAGGTATCAACTAATATATCACAACCTTACAATTAACAAATAAATAAATAACAATTGGAGATCAAATAACAATAACTTCTAACCCAAACAGTTAGGCATCAATTGATAACCCTATCCATAACAGTTAGCAATTATACGTCAACTAATAAACCATAACCTTAATAATTAATATAGAAAAACAATAAAATATAAATAAAATGACAATAAAACCGGGTTAATTTTTTATGGGGACAAACCTTATTTTTTATTGGGGATCGAAAACAATATAAAGAGCGAAAACAATATTTTTTTATTGGTACTCCAACTGATCCATGGGTGTGGGGGTTGATTACGAGGAAGTGGTATCTGTCGCTAGTAGACTTCATTGCAGACCTGGGCTTTTGCTTTTTACGTACCTTGGTTTGCCGATTGGTGGACGGCCCAACAAAGCTGAATCTTGGGCGCCTTTAATTGAAAAATTTAACAAGAAATTATCAGCTTGGAAATCCAAAATTCTCTCTCATGGTGGTCGGCTTGTCTTGGTCAAATCTGTCTTAGGAAGTTTGGGCCTGCATTATCTCTCGCTTCTCAAGGCCCCTATTTCGATTATCAACAAACTAGAATCTATTCGCTCGAGGTTCTTTTGGGGCAATAAAGGAGGAGTGAGAAATATTTCATGGATTAGTTGGAGAACCACGTTGGCAGATAAAGATGCTGGCGGTTTGGGGATTGGTAGTCTAAGAGCCCTCAATCTAGCGCTTCTCGCTAGGTGGTGGTGGCGATTCAAAATGGAGCATAATCACATATGGAGACGGGTTATCATTGCTCTCTATGGTGAAGATGGCGGCATGAATAACTTGGCCAGAAGCGGCAGTTTTCCGAGGATCTAGAGGAATATTTTAAAAATCCACAAGGAATACAATAGCTTCAATCATCCTTTCGCGGAATGGTTTCAAAGAGATCAAAGCTCTAACGGGATCGATGTCTCATGGCGATGGGCTCTGACTTCTCATGGTAACTTCTCGGTCTCCTCGATGAGAGCTGCGTACGATGATATTTCGCTTCACCAGGTTAGTTTCAGAAATTCTTGGTGGGTTAATTGGATTCCCTCTAAAATTAATATTCTAGCTTGACGTCTTCTTCACAAAAGACTTCCGACTAAAACTAATCTTGCTAAAAGAGGAGTGGTTTGTCTCTCCTCCTTGTGCCCTCTGTGCGAATGCACGGAAGAAGATGAGGAACATCTGTTCATAGGATGCTCGCTATCTCGGCAATTGCTCAACGATTTGTGCAAATAGTGGAAAGTGGACATAGGACAGGTGAATTCGATTGGTAATCTTCTTGACCGTTGCTCGGAGGTGGATGGAATTTTTCGTGTAAAAAGGCGTTTATTGGAGTGGTGTATGGATTCTTCTGGATTATTTGGAACCTACGCAACCGCAAAACCTTCTCAGCTCCTTCTCAGACGTTGGCTACTTTTCTTGCAGGTCAGCTTCAGGCGTATTCTTTTTTCTGGTTTAAAAACAGGGTGCCGAAAGATGTTATGGCGAATAGTTGGATAGAGTGGTATAATTCTCCCCTGTCTTGTTTCTAACTTGTATTCTCTTTTGCTAATGCCTTGCTAGTTTTTATGTTATTTCATCTTTTTTGCCGGTAAAAAAAAAATTATAATACAAAACCCACAAAATTTAAAAGTTTATGAGGGTCAATTTGAACCCCATAACCGGTGAGAATGATAAGGCATCTTCACTCTGGATCCAAAGGGTGGGTTCCGTATAAGGCCCGTTGGAGTCGTCGGTAATCAACTTTTGTCCAAATATCCTATTTAAATCAACAATAATCTCATGAATATACAAAATTCTAAATAACCTACAAATGTTACTTCCACTTGTTTTTCTCTGAAATTATCTTCTATTTTATCACCAACTTTTTTTTAAAACATTGAAAATAAAAGGACAAATTGTTCAAAAAAGTAATGTATTTTAACTTAATTCTTATTTTGGCTAACGTACTTTCAAAACTTTCATTTTGATACATATGATGTAAAGTTTTAAACATTCAAGTATTCGGGTAACCGGTTGAAAACTAATTTTAGATTTAAAAAAATCCATGTCATGAACCACATCAGCATAATACTGAGCTGGATACCACATCACTTGTCACATCAACATGATAACCATTTAATACTTCAACCGGTTACTCGCGTACTTAAATGCTTAAAAATTTTCATCTTAGGTACCAAAATAAGAGTTTTGAAAATACATTACCCAAAATAAAAATCAAGTTAAAATACATTATTTTTTAATACAATTTGCTCATAATAAAAAGGTTGACATTGATGTGGATGAGTGTGAAATTGGTAGGAGGAATTTATTTAGCAATAGAAGGCGGCGGTTCATTAAAAATAACCTCAAAACAAATTGTCTTAATAATCGTATTAAAATAAAGAAACATATAAAAAGACAAAATTTTATTACAATTATGACGTGCTCATAAATTTGAACCCCACAAAGGGCAAAGTATCTGTAGGGGTGTGGTGGAAAATTGAAAAAGTAGGTTTGTGTGCGGGTGTGGAAGGAAGATCAATATTAAGGAAATGCAGGTGACATAGATTTCCACTACTTTCGAGTCATTATCGATCCAAACACATCTTTGAAGGAAAGGAAGTATGGAGGTTAATGGATACACAACTGGTTCCAATACCATCAAGCAGTCATGTTATGATTTTAGTGAAGATGTGAAACCATTTAAAAGAGACTTTACAAGGGGTTTCTTACGTCTATTGTTTGATGGTTTGTGTCAAGCCGACGAGGACTCCAACACGCCCCACAAATGGAGACTAGATGATGCCCCTGGTGAAAGAGAGTGTCAGGTCCCTAGATGTGGTAGATTGCCGGCTCCCGTATCATGTAAGACCCTTACAGTCTATTTGAAAGAGCTAGAGAAGAAAGATTTCTCTCTCTCTCTCTCTCTCTCTCTCTATATATATATATATATATATATATATATATTGAGAATTCAAATAAAAACCACAAAAAAAGGTTGAGAACCATAAGAATAAAGAATCATGTGTTGGTTCACATTAAAAAACAATGCATGTGAATATCCAGTGTTAACACAATGTGATTACTTTGACTGTGTAATTGTTTCATATTATGAAACACATGATCAGTGATTCTCAACCTTTTTGTCGTGGGAAATCAAAATTATGTAGGAGGCATAGAAAGTACTTTGTCAACGGAGATTCACATAACATAGCATGTTAAGGTATGTTAACATTTCATATTAAGATATGTTAAAGTACGTTAACATATGTTAATTTATATTAACTTATGTTAACATTTCAATGCTAACATATGTGAATTTTTTTAATAACGTTCCAACTACTCTCACCAAATTTTGATATCATACATGATCCTCTCTCTCTCTCTTTTTATTTATATATATACACAGAGAGAGAGAGGTGGTCTCATTTACAAACTCAACCATTCATCTGGTCTAATGAATCTCAGTTTTTTGCTAATATAAAACGTTGATCATAATAAATGGACTATGATGATCTTCTATTAATATCCAGACCATAATAAATGATTCCTTCTCATTTCCATAAATACCTCGATTAATTGGTTTTTATGGTTTATACTAATGGTTGGGGAGGAMATTCAAGGGAGAACTGACTAGTTTGTGGTAACCGTGAGATCCAATCTCAACCACAAATCAATAGATAAATTAAGAAATTTATAATTTTGGTAATTTTTAATTAAAATTTTAATGCAAGGACATTTTAGGTATTTTCTCTCCTCTCTCTTCTCTTCTCTCTCCGTCCTCGTCTTCCGGCCACCGTCCTCCGATGATACCACAGTGTGATACTCAAGCACATATAAGATGCATTGTGATACCACTGTGTTACATATCCGATCGACCGCACAAACGACCACAATGTGATACCCAATCACATATAAGATGCATTGTGATACCACTGTGGTATCACCGGAGGACGGTGGCCGGAGGCCAGAGGCCGGGAGACGGAGAGAGGAGAGAAAATACCTAAAATGTCCTTGCATTAAAATTTTAATTAAAAATTACCAAATCCTAATTTATCTATTGATTTGTGGTTGAAATTGGACCTCACGGTTACTACAAACTAATTAGTTCTCATTTGATTAGGCCCCAATGGTTGAGTTTGTAAATGGAACCATCTTTCTCTTATATATATTGGTCTATATGTAGCAACTGGCAATTCCATTATAGTGAGAGCAACCCCAATTATAAGGATTTTAGTATTTCAAGTGTAAAGAGGGGTTTGAAGAAACTTACAATCAGAACCTGGCGTTCTAGGATGCCAATGGAAATCACCAGGGTCGTATGCTGAACAAATCGAAAGATCAAAATCCCTCTGCATTCGTCATAATTTAAGTTGACTCGAGAGTCTGCTTGAAGCTATGAAATCTAGCATCATCTGGAACCGGTGCCACTTTCTAGTTTGTCTGCAATGGACTAGGATAACATACATATGGAGGAATTAACAGGTTATAAGTAAATGGCCAAGAAACTTGGACAATTCTAATCACTAATGAAGCTTTCAGTTAACATGAAACCAACAATGTGATAAAAATCTCCACTTTGAGATCACCATAATCCTAGAATTATACTACAAAAAATGAATGTTTAATGATGTTTTGACTTGCATGTGGCATCATAATAAATAGCAGAAACTTTACTGTTCCGTTACCTGGCATCTCTAACTTTCAGTAATACAACCATCAGAAGGCATTTTGTTGACATTGGTATTCGATTTCATGGCTCAAATCGCTTCGTTTATACCATTTTGCAGGTCCCATCTTCTGTTCACATATGAAAATGTGAAATGACCAAAACGACCAAAAACATTATTTTGTGACAGATATAAGGGAATTTCACTTTGGCTCCTAATGTAACCTCCCATAAGATCAAAAATGAATTAAAAAGCAGAAAAAGATACCACATAATGGTTCTCCTAAATAATAAAATGGCAGTGTTACTTGCAGAAATTAGTGACCAAATCATGCAGATCTTCCAGTCCAATTACAACTATATAGCTAGACGATTAAAAGAACAGCTCCAAAACAACGCAACCTAAGAAACATGATCACTCTACAAGAAGCAAGATAAAAGAAAAGCATAACAGTTAGGTCATTGAGCAGCTTCCCTGGAAGACCCACAGAAGTAAATACGAAGTCGATCAACATTTTAAAAACTGGCTCATGTAATTATGATGAGGGTTCTGATAATAAGAAAGAACAGTGGGAGGAAGGAAGATAAGGAAGAAAGAAGCTCAGATAATCTTACTTCGTAAATTATGCATCTTGTAACAAATATAAACTAAAGTCCAAGGAACCAAAAATTTAAATTAGGGTTGGAAAATTCACCATAACATAAGTAATTCAATAACGAAAATGAAAGATAGAAACAACTGAATCCAAGTTATTTCCAGTAAAGATAGCAGAAGGAACTAGGAAGTTCACCATGATTTCAAGGCTGAACCATAGATAGCTGACAGATCAGCTTTGTCATTGCAGCTCTGAGAACAAAGACGAAAAAAGTGCTGCAATTGAAACTAAAAGAGGATGTACAAACAGTGGAAGGCATTAACTTTCAGTGTTCCATTAAATTTGTTAGAAATTCATGCAAATACTTAAATTTCACTTCGGGTTGAATCAACATCATTAAAAGCTTAAAAGTACAACAAACAAAAAAAATATATAAAGAGAGAGTTGAATTTAACTGGAGAACAGAAAAGCAAAAACTCATATACAGGGAAAAGAAGGATAATATTAAACTCAAACAACTTACAAGGGCGGGCTCTTACGATTTCATTATACAAATCAGATGCTACTTAAATTTAACCATCTCTGTGTATAAAAGATGGAACAGGTGGTTCCAGAGTTGCATCTTTACCTCTTGAATGAAAATCCTCTTCAACAACTGATGGCTGGCTGGTTGGGCTTCGATGTTGCTTTAGAAACCTACTAGGACTGGCAGTGTTGGCTTTATAGGGCGAAAAGGAGCTATTAGGAAGTGGAGAGCTTGGGCCAGATCTGAAACCAAATTCTTCTCCTTCTTGTGGCAAAGTTGATATAGGAATCTCACGAGCTTCGTCATCTGGTTTCTTGTAAAACTTATCCTCCATGATTTCATAGGAATTTCCAGTGCGTACTTCCTGAGCAAGTGAACACCAGCAGCAGAAGAGCCACAATGCACAATCAGTCACAGCAGGTTTACTGCAACAGATATCAGATGGGGGTAGATTGAATCTCTTTCTCATCTGAATTCTCCAAAATCCACCATAAAGCAAACCAAATACACAGAGAAATATCCCTGTAATCCCCAATGCCTCCCTTGCAGTCTCATCATTAATATTGATGGCAGCCAGATTAAAAATCCAAAAAGGTGCCAAACAAAACAGAAGAAACGTTGCTATATGGACATACATGTTTCCGAACCCAAGTCTCTCCATATTCCACCCAAAAACACAAAAACTGCAAAACAACGAGAGATATGCTAAAGAGATATCCTCCCAAAAATCAAATATACCTCCACTCCACTTCGGACTACTTTCAATTGTTCTTGTCTCATCTTTAGGGGTGAATGAGTATCTCCTTTCAAATGATTTCAACCTTGGTTGCATTGGTCGACTACTTGAAACACTTTCCGGTTTAAGTTGGGATTCTTCATCAGAAGCTGTAGTATATTCCTTCCCTAGCGGGCTGACAACAGAATACACACCAGCAATTGCAGGGGCTCCAATTGCAACAGAGATAGTTACTGCCACCCCTATTGCTGGTCTCTCTGATCTCTTGTACCCAACATTGAGTCCACATAAAGCATATTGTGCTAGACAATTAAGGTTAAGCAGCAAGATCACAACCAACATGTGTGCCCATTCATGAGGTTTGTAAGTTCCATCCTTGCAGTATAATTTTCTCAATTTTGAAACGTCTTCTGATCTCCATCTCAAGAGGAGTACAAGGTGATAAAGCCGATGTGGATGTTGGTACAGACACATGAGGGTAAACAGCGCATTCAGAATTTGGTTGTTGACCTCAAACCAAGCATCTCTCTGAGATTTTCTTGGAAGGACGTGGTTTAACATACCTGTCATGACAAGGAAAAGTATCGCACCTGAGACAGCAACACATACAATCCACACAAAAAGAACCATATTCATTGGGTTTCTTATCCATTCTTTGGCCAATTTCTGAAGGGACACCCAATCAATTTTCTTAGAGAAGACCCTAGTGAAGCGATCTCGAATTGCTTGACTAGTGCTGGAAGGTATGGTGCGTGAGAAGTCATCTCTCACCTGGGCAATCCGTTGGAATTTTGCAGTTGGCGTACCTAGATTACCAAATACAAGGAAACTTGGGGTTCTACTGGTACCACCTGGAGTTTGAGCATCCTCGTCCCTAAGAAATCCCCTCTGAGCAGTTTGGATATGTAGAGGGGCAATAGTCTTGACTCTACCTCCATTAGATTTCTCATCTTCAATTCCGCCATTATCATTTGAAACCATTATACCACAGTTAACCTCTATAACGAAACCTGCAATTAGGATAATGTAGATATCTAATTTGTAACACTTCACATGGCTGTCAACATCGAAGAGTACTAGTCATAACCGGATATTTAATTTGTAATGAACTTCACATGATACCAACATTGAAAAATATGAGCCGTGACCAGAAAATTCAAAAAGTGCACCTGTTTCGCTAAAAATAAATGGTCTAATTGAATCTAGTACACACGAGGCAAACAAACGAACACAAATCTGCCTAAAATTTGCGATAGAACTAACTTCAATACATCAAACAAAACGCTAAAGTTCAATATCTAAGAACATTTTACAGTTCTCAAACTTAAAACTGAAACTAATGTTGTCATATCAGGTCAACTTGAGTTGTTGTACAACTTCAACTTATCCACATATACACGAACATACACAAAACAAGAACTGAACAACTACATCTACCAAAAATCTTAAAGAGTTCAAACACTTGAAATCGAAAAACAAAAACCAGTAAACGCGAACATCTGCGTACATTAAAAGGCGTGAATAGAAACTCAAAGAATCTTAAAATCGTAAGAACCAAGCAAGATCTGAAAAGTGCTCGGAGAAAAATACGTACCTGTAGTAGAAAACCTAGTTCAAATTCATCTTCTCTCCATTGATAACACCTTTGATGGAGAGAATTATTGGGAACGATGATAAAGTGGGGCAAAAGCAGATGAACGATGAGAAGGTTCTTTTCTGTACCACTTGAAAAAAAAATCTGCGAATAAGCAGCTGGGCAGACCGCAGATTGAATTATTCACTCGATACGACGCCGCTTAATTAAGTTTGACCGGTTAACGACCGTATATATGTCCAGCGTCCAGCGTCCAGCGGTATTTGTTTCGAGATAGATGGAAAATGTACAGAAAGAGTCCTCTAGATTGTTGTATGGACAGATTAACACCTCAAAATATTATAAATGACTAAGTGATCCCTTTAAAAAATTAGAATTCTTAACCAAGGTTTATTTCGCCTACGAATATATTAAATTCGATATTTTTGAATTTATTATCTATTTTTAAAAATTATTTTGTTAATATTGTGTAAATTTTATTGAAGAAGTTGTTTCAAATATTTTCTTTAGATTCTCAAATGTATTTTTAGAACATAAAAATATCAATTTTTTTAATTTAAAAAAGAGTTTATGTTTGCATCTAACACTTTAATAAAAGAGTCGAAGAAAATAATGTAACTAAATGAATACATAAATTTTTAGTTTTCCCTCTTGGGAAAACGATAAACGTTAACTACAAGGGTTGTGTCTGATTGGTTTGAGTTTGGCTCCAAAGGTCAAAAGTACCAGGAGGTCTCAGGTTCAAATCCAAGGAGGAATAAAAATCTCTTTGTGGCTTTGGAGGTTCAAATGCAGTGACTATGAGCTATCTACAAAGCAGGTGGTCGCCCTGGAATTAGTCGGCTCGCATAGCGGGTTGGATATCCAGGTTATTAAAAAAAAGGATAAACGTTCTATTTTAGTTTGGGCAAAACCAGAAGAACATTTAAAAAGTGTGAGCAAAACCAGAAGAACATTTAGAAAAGTGTGAGCAAAACCGGAAGAACATAGACTCATGATATGCATTCATTTGTATTTTAGTTTGTCTTAAAATAAGTGTAGAGACAGTGAAAATCTCGTATTCCATGGGTTCAAATTCAGGCACTATCAAAACCCTTGTGACTAACCACAAGAGTGGTGCCTGATTGGTTTTAACTTGACTTCAAAGGCCAAAAGTATCAGAAGGTCTCAGGTTCAAATCCAAGAAAGAATAAAAATCCCCTTGTGACCACGGAGATTCAAATGCGGAGGCCAGATTGGATATGCAGGTTAATGGAAAAAAAACCCTTGTGACTATAGTGGTTCACTTACGATGGCTCCAGACCATTCTTGGTGCGCCTAAGATAGCAGTTACCCAAATTTCAAAAGTCTTCACTTTCTTATTATACCCTTTAATTATGAGATGAAGAAACATTCTCTCCATAATTGTAATTGTTCTTATTTGAAGACTCAGAACAATATCAACAGACAAGAAGAAAAAGGTAAGAGATGTTTAAATGCTTCAATATGAATCTATTAACAAGCTAAAAGAATATGGGAGGTGAATCCAAGCAATACACACACACACACATGTAGTCATGAATAATAAACAAATGAAGTGATGACAATAAATTGGAGATGAGTCTCAAGTAAGATCATCCTCTTCCATCTCCTTGGCTTTCAGCAAATCCTTCACTCTCAACAGAAGGGTGGTCTTCCATGCATCCTGAAAAATACGATATTATCAGTCTCTTCGTTTCAATCTTTTTGGAGGTTCTGTTATACTCAAACCTTTTTATTACGCGCTTTAAACGGACCCTCAAATTTGATCAAAATCTCATATTTAACATGCTAAGGAATGACCATGCTTGTAAACCACAAACTTGAACAAAATTCGAATGCTAACACAAATAAAAGAATCACAAGAACGCGAACACATGAGATCGAGAATTGTGGATAAATTGCATTTCATTTCTGGTCTCAAGACTTGCATCCACTCTTTCTTTTATCTCGCAAAATCATATATTTTCAAAGTAAACCAAGCGAAAGTTGCTGCTGCATTTGTGCCATTTTATGAGGATCACAAAAGAGTTGAAGTTTGATTACTAAATGCAAGATAAATATATTACCAGTTTAGTCATGCTATCGTATTCTTTGATAGCATCGGTGAACTTAACCACATCTTCCTCATCAATCGAAGCAGCCAAATCCTTCCATAAGAAAAACAAATCCGAATTGTTAAGATATAGTACAAGTTGTGGTATGTAAATAAATACTTACAGTTAGTCCAATAACTAAGTTTAACAACTATTGCCAAAAATGTGTTCTCCATTCGTCCATCTGGTCTAAAACCCATAATTTGGAAGTAATCATGCACCGAATTATAAATTTAAGGCAGTGTGTAAGCTTTAAAAAATGCACAGGGAGTTGGTTGGGTCTGGAGACCAAAGAAAGTGACAGAATAAAGTTCGGTTTAGAATTATTCAAAGATTTGCAGCACAAAAATTTATGTTACTAATATGTATATATATACACACAATGCGAAAGGGATTGTATATATTGTATGACATGTAGACTAGACTTAGGGTCTGTTTACCAAAATTTTTATCAAGTCCTGTATGGATAAATTTATCTGTCCGGATAAATGGGTGTTGTTTACTTTTTTTTATCTGAACCAACAGTCTGAATAACATAAATGACCGATTTACCCCCCAATATTAATTATTTCAACATCAAAACAAAAAATCATAAAGAGGTTGACTATGGGGTGTCTCATTTGGGAAGGAGGCGATGTTTTAAACAAGGGGTAGGGGTGTCATTTTTGTGGCTGAATGGGGACAACACACCATTTCTATCTGTGCGATTAAGTAATGTTCTATGCGAATAAGCCGTAAGTAAACAACCCAAACGAGCTGTGTGAATAAGCCAGATAGACTAATAAGCCTAGTTAAGCCACAAGTAAACAGCCCCTTAGTTGTTCTTTCTATACTAGTAGTTACTGCGTTTGGTGTTTTCCTTGTTTTGTTTAACTTATTTTCCTCATACCTGTCCCTGATGCATTTTCTGTTAACTGTATGTGTTGCTTCTTTGCCCGTGCTCTCCCATGCCTGCTTGTTTCTTTGAATTTTTGTTTTGCAAGCCGAGAATCTTCACAGAAACAGCCTCTTTACCCCTTGGGGTAGAGGCAAGGACAGTGTACATCCTCCCCCCACCGCCACCCTACCTCTGTCTGGGAGTTACTGTTTGGTTTACTTTTTAAATTGAGAACTGAGCAAAGCAAGTGCTAAATCCTAATAACAGTTGTAAGAACACACACACACACACACATATATATATATGATATATCTACTTATACACATAAAACGGAGCTCGTTGCATTTTGTGTACATTCTTAGAGCTCTTTGGGAAAGCTCTCCTATGATCATTGAGACAACTAATATGCATACACTCTACACATCAAAATCATTACTCATATTGCAAATGATGTGAGAACCATGGTGGTAAATTAATTTCTTAAAGACGATAAACAGAACGTGAAAGATAAAATCTGTTGACAAGGTGTTTGAGATATAACATACCGCCAGCAATCTGTACTCACGTGATCCTGAAAATGTTGGATCCATGTCCTACATAAGCAAATAAACATTTAGTCAATATCTTTAGACAGAAAGATGATAAAGAATTTATTGGTCAGGATCCACTGCTTGACCTGATATTTATCCAATGCGTTTGTAATTGCAACAACATCACCTTTACATAGTTGGCAAATGCCAGCATTTAACAGATGCCCTTTAACACCATACTTCAGCAAGTTATTGTTGAGTGACTGCCGTGCTATGTTTTCAAATATGTCAATTGCTTTTTGATATCTGGATAGACATTTCAAAGAAAGTGGTGTCAATAACAAACCCCCATTTTAATTTTGATCAATATTAACATATAATGTATAGCATAAAAAGGTTACTGAATATTCATGCAATTTGACTCAACTAAATGAAATAATCCCTCCATCCTAGAGGCGGATCTAGAAAAATTTCGAGCAGGGGCACAAAATAATTAACATACTACAATTTTTTACATACAAAGTACGGTTTAATTAAAAATGACGTACATGTGGGTTTTTTCCAACAACCAAATGGTTTTTATCAAAAAATTTTTGTTATGAAAAAAATTTAAAGAACGTCAAAAGGATTCGAACTTGCAAGCTATAGTGCATATGCAATGACACTACTAGTAGGTTGCAACCATTTTTTATTAACTTAACAAAGCACACATCAAATTAAAGTGGGTGCATATTTAAGACCCCTAAATTTTCTTTCCATTGCGTTGGGACAGGGGGGGCACAGACACCCTCTAGCACATGACAAAATCCGCCCAGAATACAACGTTTGAATTGACACAGTTTAATAAAAATGTTTGACTATTGAACAAATATCTAACCCGCAATAAAGAGAGAAACTTGTGGACCATTATTAAAGTCACTCTTTTCAAGTAACATTTAGTAAGGCATAAAAGGGTGAAGTGCATTTAAAAAGTACCCAAAAAGAAACTGTTGCATTTTCGTGGACAATCCAAATTGGGAACTGTATAATATGTGCATTGAAGAAGTGGGGCAGATGGGCTCGAAAGTATGTCATCCTGAAAGCAAAAGCACACTTACTGTTCCAGTTGAGCAGCAAATTGTGCAATTTTCAGATTGCACTGATTTGCAGACGTGTTCACTTCTTCACCTTGATACAGATCAGCTGCTTTATCATAGTAAACCATAGCTTGCTTCAAGTTTTCTTCCTGTTCATATAATTCTGCAATTTCCTGCAAAGAAAAAAAACAATCATGTCCCATTCAATTCATGATTTGTAAGGCATCCGTCTATATAACGATCTGGGTGCAACACAGAACACTACTACAGTCATAAGAGTCAAGATTATGCTCAACTGTTAAGGCTATATAAACAGTCTCAAATGTTAATGTGATTTTCTTGTGTTGGTGCCCACTGCCCAGCTTGATTTCTAACTAAAAGTTACATGAACAATTATGGTTGAGACATGTGAGAAAGTGATGAAGGAACATATGAGTATCAGGCATGGAAGACATCAACCTAGCACCCACCATTTAAGAATGCTATTATAAAAAGATGATTTGGGAATTGTACCTTACAGTACCTTGCAGACATGCTGAGCCTTCCAATTTCCATGAATAAATTTAATGCTTTCTCCAGATGAGATACACACTCTGCAAAGTATCCAATTGCATCAAGCAAAACTTACATAAAGAAAATGGAGATATATGATAAAACTCGATTGAGTATATAATAGAAAAGAAGCAAAATTTCAGGGGCATGCATTTGTGTATAAACAATAAAACCCTTTTCAAGGGAAGAATAACAAAGTGAATAAAGAACAATGCAAACAATATGCCGCTTCCGTTATTGCTGCTGGATTGACTGTAGGGCTTGCTTCTATTGGAAGAAGATGTAGATCACTAGACCAAGTGTGCAGTTATAATCTTGTTCATCCAAAAATAAATGCGACTGTTGACTAGGCAAATAGTTTGAAGGAAGTGGTTGACTATTGTTATAATACTGAAAAATACCCTTCAACAGAGACAAAAATCAATGTGATCAATATTTGTAATGCTAGCCAGTGGGTTATGAGGTAACTTTGGGTTAAAACTTTGTCTAAAAGGATAACGTTGCATGTATGTAAAATCTGCTTGATTTAGATCAGAAAATCGTGTGGTTTTTGCGATATCTTGAAAAGTAAATTGTTTCATATATTCTGGAACGGAGGGGGAACAACAAAGATTACATGGTTGTAAAATTGCAAGCTATCAAGAAAGTTATACCACTTCTTTATGTCATAAGATATGCATAAAATGTCTTGTTCCAAGAGCAACTTCTAACTTTCACACAGAATCTGGGCCATGTTTCCAAATATCTTATGCACAAAAGCACAAACTCTTTTAAACAGTTGCCAAACATGAAACATGGTTGCCAATTGTTCAATAGCCTAAACTGTTGAATGCGTAATTAGGTAAGTTATGCAACAGTGTTAAATTGGTTATGTTATGAAATACCAAATCATATCATGGAAACATGTCATTAAAATTGCCAAGGATTACAATGGAGAGCAACATGAAAGCTGCAAACAGCCACTTTCACTACAATCTTTTTAATACATGACACACTATTGAATGCTATGAAAACTAGAATGGAAGATCGGATTAATACAAATTAATAAACTCATATAAGAAGGTAGAAAAGATGCATGCCTGCAGTATTTGTTTTCTTATAGCAATGAGCTGCATCCGCATAAGCATTTGCAGCTTCATGTTTGCTATCCATCTGTAACCAAAACAGCAAAGATCAATATAGGGTTCTAGTAAAAGGTTGAGGTATACGCTCACCACATCACATCAAGCACTTACCTTCAAATAACATTCAGCCAATTTGACATATACTGCCCCAGCTTTATCCCCTGAAAGACCAAGTCAAAATTAGCAGGCCATCAATATGCCATAACTGTGACCATCAAACAATTAGTTTCAAGTCTCAAGAACATTAAAACATTAAAAATCTCCGTGCATTTTAAAATTGATCGTCGCCAATCCAAATACATCAAATTCATAACCCTAACCGCTCAAAACTAAGGTCAATAACACCCGATCATAAACTATTTGATTCAACATCCCCAAATTTCACCCGTCTCGGCCGTAACGTAAGCCAATTCAAATAACACCATTTTTTGGAAGAAAAAAAAGAACACAACAGCTATCGATTTCATGCAATCGTTATAAGCCACAATCCCAATGATCGAATAATTTGTTGAATATATAAAGTTTGCGATGATGATGAAAACTTACAGGATTTGCCAAGTTTGTAAAAATTGCCAGCTTTTTCGTACAATTCGGCGGCGTCTTCATGCTTGGAACCAAATAAACCCCAACCCTTGAGTTTCTTTTCAGCTCGCCTTTGAAAATCGTCCCCTTTCGCTATTTGATCAGACATTCTGTTCGTCGTTCTTGTTTTCCGAGACAACACGATGGACTACCGCCAAACGAAAAGCCTCGCTTATACTATTTCCAACATGACGGGCCAGATTTTTCTCTTTTTGTATTTTCACTTTCACCCCTTCAACTATTAAACTACGATCAGAAGTAACCCTATATTTTCTTCAAAATACAAAAAGCATCACATTTTAAAATATCTGATTTTCTTATTAAAACATAATTTTAAAATTTATTTATTTGTAACGGGCAAGTGGGGTTAATTTATTTTTTTATTTCTTTTCCGGAAAAAACAAAATTCGACTTTAAATAATATTACATGATTATTGACTTGATATATAATTTACTTAAGATATTAACTATCGTTAAACTTTAAACGTTTAAAACGATGTTAAGAACAAAACAAAAAAATATCATATAAAAATTTAAATGCTCTATTTTTAAAACAAATCCAAAATTGAAAAATATTTAACATTTTAGTTAGAGAAAATTACACTAAAATGAAATTAACTTTCACCTGATTCTTATTTTTGAGAACCAACTTTTAAAATTGTCATTTAGAGGTCCCTATCAAACTTTTTGTTTATTTAAAGGTCTGATTGACCTATTAATGCTGACATCATCCATCTCTTTTGTCAACTAAGATATTCCACGTCATATTAATTTTTTATTTTTAAAACTAATATTCCATTTTGGTACAATTTTCCTTTTTAGTTATAGACCAAAAGAAGCATAATAGATATCGATCCTTATTTACAACTAAAAGTTAAAAGCAATATAAACGCCTTCCCTGTTCATGTACAGCTTTTTTTCGTTAATATTCTCGATCATCAAAATAGATTGTTGATAAGCATCAATTTTCAAATAAGCACTTATCGGGTAAAAGTCTTTATTTCCTACTTAGCAGGTAAGATTTTCAGTCATCTGATAACATCATTGGTCTTTGTCATGCAGGAAAACTGAATGACAAATGACGAACCGCTTAATTTACGGTCTTACATGCATATTATGTTTGTACTTTTCCAACTTGGTGAGAATCTTTTTGGCACAAAACATACCCCTCGAAAATACACTTCCAATATACTTAATTCGCGCTATTTTTTTTTGGGCAAGAATCATACATTTTTCATGATTTGACCACGAATCACTCGCTACTCGTACGGCTTTGAATTCAAAGACCGATAGTCTTTCTATCGAGCTTGAGCCGTTTATGATATGTATGAAATTTCCATATTAATACAAAAAGATATTTTTAGGGTAAAAAGAACAATAACAAAAACAGAACTAGAAACTTGCTTTGGAGAACCAAAGTCAATAAGAAAGTATACAAAACCAATAGCCAAAAGGGTATTCCTGTCATTTTGCTCACTATCCATCTACTTATTCTACTTCCTGCACAGATAAATGGACACTCCGTTAGCAATTCGACTACACAATGACATGATCTGCATAAGAACCAGCACGAGATAAATCACAGGAAAATGCACGAAACAAATGCAAACCACAGGATGAAATCACACCTGCCACTCTTAACCGTAGGGACAATTATTCCTCTTTTCTCAAGGCTCTTGTATCGATCTCTTGCAAGGGTGCAACATGCCTACATTACAAAGGGTATGTTTAAATTGTTAGTAATCCCGTACACCATCCCACATTGTGACAGAAAGTCTTGTTCAGCTTGAAATGAACACAAAAACTGTAAAAATCTTTTATCTTTCCAAATTTTCATAAGAAAAATCTAATTGTGAAAACAGGACAAAATATCTCGAATATGTTGAGGCGGGGGAGCAAAGCAGGAATATAGGCAAACCTTGAGTTTCCTTAAAGAACCAGTAATTTCTTCAGATAACAACACTTGAACAGGTGCAGGCTCAAATCTGAAATTAAATAAAACATCATTACATCCGCCCAATTCTATTATATTCATAAACTTTGCCAACCAACTCCTTAAAGCTAAAGAAAGAGGGATTTGAATAAAAAAATTGTACAACAATTTGGCTATATAACAATAATGACAGGTTATAGCAAAAATGTATATATTCTGGTATATGGAAGTTCACCAAATCTTTGGCAGCAGCAATACACATATGGGGTGTTTGGTTTGCAGAATGGAATTTGGTGGAATTGGAATCCATCAAAGGAATTTGACTTTAAATGAATTTGACCACACGTTTTGGTTGGAAGGAATTGAAATGGAATCTCCTAAAGAAATTGGAATCTGCATGTGTGTGTTGTGGGGGGTTGGGGGGGTGTTGGCGGCGGCTGTGATAGCGACACTAGTGGCATGATGATGGTTGAGTGGGTGGTGGGTAGCGCCAACAACAGTAGCGACTGGTGGTGGCTGGGTGGGGTGGGGGTGTGATGGTGGGATAGGATGGCGGCTGTGACGGCGAACATTAGTGGTGGGGTGGTGACAGTGGGGGTGGGTGGGTGACGCTTGTGGCAACGATGGTGGTGGCAGCAGTGAAGATTGGGTGGGGTAAGGGCCGCGATGGTGGTGGCAAAGGTGTTTGGCAGTAGGTATGGTGGGGGTGGTGATGTTGGTTATTTGTCTTTATATACCCAAATATAAGGTCTGTTACATTTGCCATGAAATGGATTTAATGGAACTCAATTCCTTCACTTATGCCAAGGAATGATCAAATCCCTCAACTGTGGAATTGGGCGGATTCCAATCAATTAATTCCCCGAACCAAACATGATCAAGGAAATTCCAATTCCATCACATTCCGCAAACCAAAACTATCAGAAGGGGAATGTATTAGAAAATAGTAAGCCTTACTTGCGTCTGCCTAGGCGTGGCGGGTGCGATTTGAGTCTTTCTTGTTTAGCAATAACACGACGGGTATGTCTCTTACTTTTTTCTTCATCCTCCTTGGCTATTTCGTCAATTATATCTGGTAAGCTGTGTTGAATATGTGAACCAAAACAAGTTTGGTGAGACAATGACAATAGCTATAACTAAAAGAAATTCGGATCAAGCAAATAGTGTATGTAATTCACCTGTCGAGGTCTCTAGAGAACTCTTTTGTCTTTTTTACTTCTGCTTCCATCTTCAACTTTTCTTTGTTTCTAGCCCTCCTATTCAGCACTACTCGCGTAACCCTCTTCATCTTAAAGGGCCTGCATGGTCATAATTCTCAAGAGTATGGATTAACAAGGAACAACTTTGAAGCATGTAAAACATCATTGCTTAAGTTGTTATTAGGAAAACAAATTGTCACGCAATTACAGAAGGAAAATGAGCATTAATTAGCGATCTTTTTCCAGTTTGCCCTAAAGCAGTATCTAGAGTTAAGATCCATTTCAGTAATAGTCATAACTAAATGATGAGATTTTATATTGTTCCACTCCGTTTAGTTTTGTCATAGATTTAGGTTTCTGCTGTACAATTCAAAACATTGATGATGTCTCTAATTTAATTGCTTTCTCGTTTTGTAACACAACCAGCAGCTCACGACATTTTATCAATTCAAAACACATTTTCTGCATCTGTGGACTGTAAAAGTAATCTCAAGCTTATGTAAAGCATACAACATTATCCATCAATGCACAAACTCCAAGGCGTCACTACCCGATGTTTTGCCTTTTGTTTTTGCTTTTACATCATTAAAAGTGTAAAGTGGACTAAAAAACCGCACTTACCAAACGCATATGTGGTCAGAGAATCAAAATTAGTTCACAGAAATAAATAAACAACATTCATATACTGTAAACATGATTTTTGAAATTTTCATGGTTACAGAACTAGTTTTCCAAAAACACACACATCAAAGTTGTCTTCATCATAAAAGTAGTGCTCAGAGGTGTAGTCGCCGCCGGTAAGAGAGCCAAGAATCAGAATGCAAGAGGGTTGGGGGGATATATTAACTTTTTTAACTAATGACATGGAATTTAATTTAGTATTAAGAAAATAAAAAATGACATCAGATTTTACCTGTGCCACATCATCGTTCGTAGATTATCAGGTAGATGAGTCCCTTAAATAAACAAAAAGTTTGTTTTAGACCCTCAAATGAAGGTTTGGAAGTTGGTTCCCTAAATAGGAATAATGGTAAAGTAAGTTCCATTTTGATGCAATTTTCTCCCTTTTCCAAATGTCATCTAACTTTATGAAAAAAAATGTTGCAAAGGGGTTGTTTTGTTAACAACTTAGGGGCTGTTTGGTTGGTTTTCCATTAAGTAATGTATAGATAAAGTTGTCCGTGTAGATTGAGAATGTTTTTTGTTTGGGAGGGTTTTATCATAGATGGAAGGAGAGTGTTTTTAGTTGGAGTTTGGAAAAAAAAACTTGGCTTTCTGCATAAAGCTGCATGAGTTTTTATTAGCAGCTTATTTGTTTAGCCGATGACTTGTTCAATAAGCTTTCTCGAGCCTCTTGTATCCGTTCAGCCACATACCTCCCTAAAATGCCCTTCCCACTCACTTCACACTTCACGAACAAAAAAATCATCGATCTCTCTCCACTGCTCCCACCTTACTGCTTCCTCCATCAATCTCGCTCCGCTCACTTTCTCCAAATCGAGCAACTGCTCCCCTGCTTCCTCCCCATCGATCTGCTCATTTTTACTCTCTTCATCTCTTGTTCTCCCCTCTCGATCTGCTTCTGCTTCAGTACGATGCTCGAAATTTTTAGGAATGAAGCTCGAAATTTTCTGGATAAATCGGTATTGATCCAGATAGATAATGATGCTCAATCCAAGGAAAACATCAATCTACTTCTGGGTTAAATTTATGTGTTCAAGAAATACATCGACCCACTTTCTTCTTGATCTGCTGATATCAAATTTACACACCCTTTAACCACTTCATCTCTCTTGGTGCATATTTTGCTGATAACTACAAAGACACTTTTGATGTTGTATTCTTGTTAGGCTGCTCTTTAACTGGTTTATTGCTTCAAGCCTAAAAAATGGCAAGGGTTTTCTCTTTTTTGGGCTCCTTTGGTATCAGAACGGTGGAAATAGTTTTCAAGTTAGCAAGTGGGTTGTATGTAAGAAATTTTTATGGGCTGTAATAACAATTAGCAACGGGTTGTATGGTAGAAATTGATTCTTTTGGTTTTCTTTAACATGCAGTAGTGTTTAGAGATCAATAAAACCAAAAATAAAAATATCAAAAACGGTCATTTTCATGATTTCGACAGTTAATTGAGCATAACAAACAACAATTTTATTTTAACCAATACACACAACTTTATCCATTCAAAACTTAATGAAAAAACAACCAAACAGTCCCAAAGTGTGCTTTCAATTTGTTTTGGCAACAATCACAATTTTGCTCAAAACAAAAAAGCAAAACATAAGTGTTATCAAACAAGGGCTCAGCATGTAGGCTATACTAGGTATTTTGGTATATGGTTTAGGATGTATATTGATGTAGGATGTACTTGTTAGACTATAAGATATTTTGCTATGCATTGCATTCTACTCTTACCAGTTACCATAAATATGCACCTACATGTTCTCATTCAGATGTTGGCCACATAATTGATATCAAACAAGGTTGTGATGTGCTATGTTGTTATATCGGTCAGAATACAAAATCGATATATCAGTTATATCGGTGATATATCGGTCCAAAATAGCGGTTAACATAATATTTCTTAGAATTATATATATAATATGCATTAATTAGAGTTTAGAAATATAGTTTCAAAATTAAAACATMACGGAGTCACTAGGCTGTGTTGAGGAACTGTTGGAGGCTGAGTTGACCAGGAAGGCAGGAACTCAGGTGGCTGCTGTTGCTGTCGATTGCTGTTGCTATCGGCTGTATAAACATTCAACGCCAACAGTTGCTGCCGGTTGCTGCTGTGACTCTAGCAACTTGGTAAGCCGAGGAGACCAAGAAGAGAGACCGAGAAAAGAAGCCAAACCGTGACTCCGTGAGAAGTCTGAAGTTGTGAGAAGTCTGAAGTCGTGATTCGTGAAGTGAACTAGGTGTCTGTGAAGTGTGAAGTTGTAACTCGTAAAGATGAAAAGAAAGGAAGAAGACCGTTGGAAGGCAGACTATTAATTTCAGACCAAATATTATGTTACCAAGCCCAAAAAACTAAGCCCATGAAATTACAGAAGCCCAAATAATTGAACCCTAAAAAATCAATATATCGGTCCGATATATACATCAAAATATCGCTAAATATCGGGAAAAATCAGAAAATATCGTCGATAATATCAAGGACGATATTTTGACCGATATTTATGCAGCGATATTTTGCCTAGGTCCGATATCCGATATATCGCGATATTAACAGCATAGGTGATGTGTAGGCTAAAACTAGGGTTTTGGGTAGATGGTTTATGATGCACATATTTCTAATATACCACTCTTCTATACAACAGATTCTCTTCTTGGCTACACTCTGTTAACCTGTTCCATCTTGGTTTACCATTTTCTAATTATCCTATAGAGTTTTCTTATAACTTAATTATGTTAACCAACATGCTGTCCTAAATCTCATCCCGTGGCAACAAGTCGCAGTGGATAACAGAAAAATTACCAGATAAGTGGGACGCATTTCTTATATCTCTAAGAGATCCAAATTGAGGTACAACTGAAAGACAATATGTCAATTTCTTACTTACGTTATCATTGAAGATCCTAAGATACAACTTGAAAAAGCACAGCCCTAAATGAAATGGTTACATTGATACTGTGTCAACCGTTGAACAATTAAAATTCCCTTGTATAACTACCAAAATCTGATAGCCCTCGGAATTGAAACAATAGTTCAACAGCTGAATTAAACAACCCCGTTAATGAGAAGCACTTGAGCACACCGGCACCTTCATCACTACAAAGGGACTGCAATTACCACATACACAGGGCAAAAAGTTCATACAGAAGAAAATGGACAACCACCTGCAGAAATTAAATTACAAGACCATTTACATCTAGGAAACCCCTCAGTCGATGAAAGTAAAATAAAGCTGATGGTAGATCACCTGGGAGACCTAGAGAAACATTTAAACAACCGTTTCCTGACACCACTTAGTTGACATCTAAGGAAAAGGCAGGTTTATGAGAGGAGAGGGACGTTTAAAAAAACTCTGAATAGAATACTTAACCAACAATCTTGAGCTTGCTCAAAGTAAGAAACATGCGTCAGGAGCCGTCAAAGCCAATGGTTGGCTTCTATGCATGGTGATCATCAAACGATGGAGATGAAGGAGCAGCTGCAGATCCAGAGGCAGATTGAGATTGACCTCTCATAACAACAGCACAAAGGTGTGATATCAAACAAAAATAATTGGCCATATCTATCACAAAGGTTGACCAATGAGGCCTCCAGCCGAGCCGCCAAACAACAAGACTGAACATATCAGGAATGATAAAGAGCTTGATGGACAAAAGAGGAGCAAATTGACGACTGTTGGAAGTAGCGCCGATGAAATGAAGAAATTTAAACTTGAAACTGGTTTTAGCCAGAAACTGAAAACCCTAGTTGCAGAGATGACAAATCAGAGGAGGGGAGGAAGAAGAAACTTGCTATTTAAATCCCACTATTAATACTTACCAAGGTTATATAGGATATACCATCGATAGCCATGGATCCAATAGCAAACTCTGCTTTAAGTCTTTAACAACATAAGTTATGGTAGTGGTAGTTATAGTCAAAGTCTCTAGAAAGAATAACCTAGATCGCCCTACATATAATGTCACCTTGTCTCCAAGATGAAGTGTAACTTATGGTCATGTTAATAGCAGTTAGACAGTCAATGCCAAGAAAAAAACGTAAACATATACAGTCATTTAATAAAACCAAGTCACCAAGATTTGAAAACATCAACACATCAATGATAACAAATAGATAGACATACCTCTTCTCAAGATCTGCATCACTGTTTTCATCGACATCCTTGTTTTGTACATCATCATCACTCTCATTGTCCGCATCAAGGAAATACATCTGTAAAGTTGTCTAATCATTAGGCATCGATTGATGCGGGCATCTAAAAATGATACAATTCCAAAAAATAGCACATGCAGAAATTTAAAGCTACCCACATCTTCCTCGTCAATAACTTCTCCATCAACGGTTAAAGGAACGGATGCAGGGCGCAATTCTTTTGTATAAATTTTCTGCATTTCATCTGCAACAGCATTAGCTAACGAATCCTGCAAAAAGTAAAAACATCAAGAATTAGTAAATAAACAGAAGGCTTAAATAGTTTCGACATGCCACTGGTAAGAATCATGTAGATATAGATCAAGTAATATATAACCATATGACCTGACCTGATGACTTTCAGACGGTGGATTGTAAGAGCATCCAGGTGGCTCTACTTCCACAGCCGGAATGTTCATAGTCTTAGATATCTGTCAAAACCATCGAATGTCATAAGCTATAAAAAACTACAAAAAAACTGCAGGCCTTGAAAAAAGATGTTGATTCTCGGCAATGAACAGGTTGAACACTGTATCTACCAATGTGGGATCTAAATCATGGCCCGTGTTTATAACATAACCAAATAAGAACAAAGGGGGGAAAAGCAAGGATCCATCATAGTAGCATGACTACCACAAACATGAGAGTTGATACCCCTCCAAGAAATACAACCAAGTATTGTAGTCTTATCCATGAGTGGAAAAGGTTGTACTACCAAAGTAGATTTCTCTAGAAAAATAAGTGCTAATAATATATTATAATTGTGAATAATATAGGTCTAACCACATTCATGGATTGATATAAACATGTATAATACTTTTGTGTGTGTGTGTATATATATATATATATAAACAATATGGTAAAAGGAACCCAACAAAGCAGACCAAATATCATCTCAAACAGCCATACTTGAAGCAGAATTTTTACCTTTCTTTTAACCACGAGCTCATCTGAAGAAAAAAAAACGCCCATCAAGAAATTTCATTTAGCACAAAAATGAAGACTTGCATACGAAGATTGATAAAAGAGAAACCTGTTCCATCCCAGATATCAACCATGCCGGTATCTGTGGTGCCATCTTTCTGTAAAAATTACAAACGAGATCTTCAATCAGACTACATTTCAGTACTATCATTAGGAATGAACCAAGAATCAAATTTTCAACACTTGGACAAACCTGAGAAGAACTTTCTGCCCTCTGAATCTCTTTCTGTTTTTTCTTGGATTTTTTCTGATTTGAAGAAGGTACAGGTTTTACGAAAGAATTCTTCTGTAGTATACTATCAACACGGAGTATCTTCTCTCTATGTTTGTCTATTTTACGCTTGACGGAAAGATCTATATAGCGAAACAGAAACCAAGTTCGTGCTGTTATTTTCACATTTATATAATTTTTCATTTTTGCTATGACACATCCAGTGCAATTTCAAAACGTGAATCATGGATAAGAAAGAAAAACAAATTCAAGGAAGATCCAGGGCACTTAATTAACGCATTCTTAAAGGAAGAAGATACCTCTGGACTTGTCGACAAAGAACAGAGAATCACTAGGAACCTCGGTAAGAGAACCGCCGGAAAGAGCGTCCTTGCTAGATTTCTCATAGAAATCCTCGATATCTTCTGTGCTTATGTTCGCTCTCCATGCTTTCTTTCCTTTCCTTGAGCCCTTCGATTTCTTCCCCATCGTAGCGTAACAGAAGGAATGTGCTGTTGCCGCCAAGAAGACTCTGTAAAACCCTAAATAAAACAGAAGTGATGGAACTGATGCCCTCAATTGGACTCGGATCTTAGGGTTTTACTTGTCGGACGATCTCGGGTCCCTTTTGACCTCATCCGCAACCCGTGCTTTTTAATACCCGGTGACAAATAGAGTCCACGGAAATAGGGTTGTAATGAACCGAATCTTCACCGAATAACCATTCTGCGGAAGTTTGGTAAACAATAACATGTGGTTATCGTTTAGGGTTTGTTTACTTGAGGCTTAATGAGCTTAGTGGATAAATTAGCTTATTCGCACAGACAAAATAGGTTGTTTACCTCGAGCTTATTCGCTCATAAATGGGCTTATCGCCCAGATGAAAATCCTACCTTGTCCAGGTTAAGCCGGCCAAAAGACTTGCCCTACCCTCATCCACCAACAGCGCCTCTCTCTTACGGAAACACCAACAGCGCCTCTCCCTTACGGAAACACCAACAGCGACTCTTCTCCATCGATCCAAAGAACCCTAATCGAATGTCTCTTCTCCATCGATCCAAAGAACCCTAATCGAAGGTCTCTTTTCCATCTCCTCCAAAGAATCCTAATCGGTTTATGTCTCGGTATTTGCTTTCTCGGTTATAAACGGTAGCATAAACCTCGAGAAAAATGAATGGTAGAAACCCAATTTTTGTCAAAGGTAAATTGATCATTTCTGTTATTCAGACTGTTGATTCAGATAGAAAAGTAAACAACAACATAAATTTATCTAAATAGACAAATTTATCCATACAGGACTTAATAAAAAATTTGGTAAACAACCACTTACTTCAATCAGACTTGCTCTGGTCAATACTTATCCCAAAAAATAGTAAAAATAGCTCTTTAACATTTTCACAAGTCTTTGAACTTTAATCGACGGACAAAAATAACTTAATTTTATTAGTGACGGGAGAAAAATGGTAAATATGTTATCCTTCTGTTCAAACGGTATAAATATTGACTGCTTTGAGATGAGGCAAATTTTGATGTCTATGGCCGTGGCAATTTGTCTTTTTTTAGAGTTGGAGTTGCTCTTAGTTAAAGTTGTTCACATACGATAGAGCTTATTCATTCGATTTACTAGAAATTCGGATTCGGGTATCAACAATCATCATTAAGATAATGGTTAAATACATGAAATAGCAACTTACTTTCATAAAATTTCTTATTATAGCATTCTACTTTTATTAAGGCATTGTACTTTAAAAAATCTATTCATAATAGCAATGGGTAACCTGTTACCTTTTAAACTGGTTAACCATTTGACTTTTTTGTTTGTGTGACTTTAATGAAGTGATGTGGATGTCACATCATTTTGATGACTTAACTGAAATTAAAATAAAAACCTAATTCAAATTATTATTAGTGATTTTCATTTTTCATTGCTATGATCTAAAAAAAACATTTATTTTTTTTTTACATTTTCTTATTAAGTTGCATTCAAATTAAATATTCTTAAAGTAAAATATTTATTAAATAAATATGAAATATTATTTTCAAGATATATTTTGTTTGTAAAAAAAATTAAATTTTCTTATTTTATGTTGTTCAAATAAATACATATATTTTAAAGTTCTCTTTAAAATATTAACGAAATAAATTGTTATCTACAATTTTTTAATATTGTTATATTAATAAATAATTCAAAAAAATCTAATTAATTTAATATATTTATTCGTCAAGTAAATTTTTTTTAACAAATATAATATATTCTTTAAAAGATAATATTTTTTGGTAAAAAAAAAGACAATTCTTTTTTTTTTTTCCAAAAAACACATATTTTTAAAAAAATGTTAGTGAGATAAGTTGTGTTCTACTAGTTTTATTGATACTGGTATATTAATGAATAATTTAATTTTTTTTTAAATTCATCTAATACATTTATTAAATAACATGTAAAATATCTAAATATTAAAATAATTTTGAAAGTACAATGATGTAGTAAGAAAGTCACATCACTATAGTATATGTGGACAACCTACGTGGACAATGAGGTAGCATGAAAACCTAGTATAATAGGTAAATTTAAATCAAAAGTTACCCAATGCTATAATGGGTAAATTTTTTAAAGTATAATATCTTAATAAAAAATAGTTTTGTAATAAAAAAAACTAAAAGTATAATGTTATAATAAAAAATGTATGAAAGTAAATTACTATTTTGTGCATTTTATCCTTAAAAATAAGAGGAGCTAGTTGGATTGTTTAAATTAGTGGATGAATTTGACACCATACAAAAATCTCGAGTGAATACGTCCAACACCCATTTGTATTTCTATAATTATATATATATATAGAGAGAGAGGGGGTTGGGTTCACGTGAGACCAAAGGTTTTTCATGAAACCCGTAAGACTAATTTTTGTTCATTGGTCAATTTTATAAACTAATGATCTAATGGTCTAAAGTTGCAAGATGGCAATTTTGTAATTATTGAGATGTCTCATGGCGTTTATGAATGTTCAGATCTGACGATTGTAAATCTAATCCAAGAGGTTGAGAATTGGTCTTACGGGTCTCACGAAAAACCATTGGTCTCACATGATACCAAGTCTATATATATAACTAATATTTTACTATCATTTAATTAAATAAATGTTCACAAATCCCATTGGTTGCTTTGGATGGACTACGTCGATTGGTATCAAACGTCTCCCAACATATGTGATGTTATATGGTAATTGTGGAATCTCGATTTTGAAATATTAGATGGTAACGTCTTTGGTACTGAAAAATCCAAGGAGAATAAATGTCCATACTTCATATCTTGTGAAACTATTTTTAAATCTATATATATCTATAAAGCATAAACATACAATCTTGACGTGACATCTCCTCATATCAGTATTCATGCCTTACTTTTTTCTCAAATTTCCCCTTTTATTATAGGTTTTATATTTAATCTAAAGCTTTTTATTATTTATCTTCTACATCTATCTATCACAAACTTTTCTTACTCTTCATATTCTACCGTTACAATTCATTCTCCTTCACATCTCTCTGTCATAAACTTATTTGCTCTTCTCCATCTCTCTTTATCTTTCCATGCATCTATAGAAAGATATGAAACAATAATTGTGAGTTTTTTCTTCTATTTTTCTCGATCTCTCTATCTACTATGTTGTCTGTGATTAGAAGCAAACCGAAGGAGATTAGAGAAACCATATAAGGAGGAACATTAAAAGTCTATGACAAAATCAGTTGCTGGTGTGTTTCCTTCCTCTCTAAAGTTCTGAGAAAACCAATTAGATTTTGCTATTTTCACTTGTACTTTTTCACTAGGGCCAAAAATTTCGTCAAAATTGTTTTAGCGGGCTCGGTAGTCGGTTCTGCGTTGCAACCGTTTCTCTTCTCTGATTGCTTTTCAGTTTCCGGCCTACTTTCAGACACCCGCAGGCGACGCCATTGCAAGGTAATATTGTCATCAACTCATTTTATACATATATATTACATCATTGTAGAGCGTTTCTACGTCGAGTTGGTTGCTATGTAACGGTTTTATTTGCAATCTTGGTGTTCGATAAAATGCGTAAACGAAATCTATTGTCGTAAGTTTATTTTCCATATAGATTCCCCTATTTTCCGTTAAGATCGCGAAGGTAGCAACAATATTCATCTTAAGATTTTGATCAGAATTGCAACACATATTTTGGGAGAATTTAAAGTTCAAATTATGTTATTGTTCCACAGATTTCCGCGTTATTCATTGATTGCAGGCATTTATATTCTATAGGAAATGTCTCTAATTCTCCAATTTCATCATCCCACCAAACACCATATCCAACCATTGTGTTCAGTAAGACAACATTCCAGTAAGATGAAGATGATGTTTTATTTATCGCATACAAGTATTGCAAACCATAACCAACAACTCCAAAATACCAATCATATCGATGGGGACTACAGTGTTTGAAAACAATTCAATTACTCTTTCTACATCCAAAACAGTAACTAGGTAGTTTTGGACTTGGGATTTACAGGCTTGGCGCTCCATAAGGAAAGAGTATGCTGGAGCCACGTACCTAATCCCACTTATGCTCTGTAGCAAAACAATTCCTACAAGGCTTAACCAAGAAACTCTAATATCTGGTTAACTAAAAAAGAGATCCAAATTTTAAACATTCAAGTTAGAAAATAGAGATATATTGTTCTGAGTCCTGCATGGATCATACCTCATTTTCTAGTAAATATCAAAGTGTTTCAGCTTGGAATTCAAGAATTAGGTTGGTAAACTTGTTTCAACCGTTTCTGAAGGTGACTTATGCCGGTCAAACAATGGTAGCTATAAGTCAAGAAAGGGATTGGCATAGCTGATACTTCTTGTGCTCTATATAGCAGGGCCTCACATTTGATAATTTCATCTTTCGTACACATTTAATGCTCTTTATTCCAGCATTAATTGAATGTCTTTTTTCCTTTAGTTACTACCTTCTTAATCAAATTAAATTATATGATTCTTTCTTCATACTGATACATCTTGTTTGTTTGCAAATCTTTCACTGTCGTCCATTTGTTTCTTTTGCATGCTTGCTTTTCTAGCCTTCTTAGACCATCACAACACTCTTTTAGACCAAATAAGTTTGAAACCATGTGTTATCAACTTTCAAGCTGCATGGCAAGTGGCAACTCTACATACGAACCTTTCAGGTCTCATTTGAATCCAATTTTGTTAGTAGCATTGTCGTGCACAATTGTGGAAAGAAGATTTAACTAAGCTGAGTCAAAAGGACAAAGAGAAATAGAACGGTATTGCCAGTTGTGATTGTTTCATATTATTGAAGCATTAACTTTTAAAGATATGGTAAATGATACAAAAGTTTAGATGACAATATAACATAAAATAAACAATAATAAATAAACATAGAGCAACACCAAGTTCAATATCGAAGTATGCGTGAGAGATTGTTGTGATCTTCCATCTATGAATTGAGAATATTTTAAAAGCTTCTAAGGGGAATTTATTCTATCAAAACCATACCATGAGCAGAAATCTGCTCATAGTTTTCTGAATAGTCATTTCATGATTAATGTTCATTCTCTAGGCCTCCATATT